ATTTTTGAAGTGGGTTTTTTTGCACCTGAGCTTATGAGAGAAGAAGAGACGATGTTATGAAGTGGATTTTGATGGCAGATGACGACTACCATAATAGGGGACATTTGTATGGGTATTTATTTAAAAAGCAATATAAATATTTAATGGGGATATAAAAGGATGTAAACAGGCAAGGACATCTAGAAGTTCCTCTTTTTATATCATCCATTGTAGGATGGAGGGTATATTAAGTTTGTCATTCCGTTTGTAGTACCTCGAAATATACATTTTAGACCCCACGAAGTATATATATTCTTGATCATCATAAAATTCTATGTCGATTTAATGTCCGTCCGTCTGTCCGTCTGTGAAAATCACTATATCTTCCGAACGAAATGAAGAAAGTTGATAAAAATTTACTCAAATGTGTATTATGTCTGCAGGACTTTTGCAGCCATATTATTTACCGGAATTGTTTCAAATTTGGTATTTGAAGTTCGTAATAGATACTACAGCCTACGATGGAAAATTGTCTGTATGGGTCCACGTTTTGGTATACCCCCCATATAATGGTACATCCCGGTATTTTTGACGATTTTAGCGACATTATTCACCGGAATTGTTTCAAATTTGGTATTTGAAGTTCGAAATAGATACTAAAACCTATGACAGAAAATTGTCTGTGTAGGTCCACGCTTTCGTATAGCCTCCATATACCTCCATGTACCTCCCGATATTCGGTATTTTGATGATTTAAGCGACATTAGTCATCGGAATCGTTTCACAGTTGGTATTTGAAGTTCGTAATGGATACTACAGCCAAAGACGGAAAATTGTATGTGCAGGTCCACGCCTTCGTATAGCCTCCATATACCTCCCGATATTCGGTATTTTGATGATTTAAGCGACATTAGTCATCGGAATTGTTTCACAGTTGGTATTTGAAGTTCGTAATGGATACTACAGCCTATCACAGAAAATTGTCTGTGCAGGTCTACGCCTTTGTATAGCCCCCATATAACGGTACCTCCAAATATTTTGATATTTTGATGATTTTAGCTACATTATTCACCGATTTTTTTTTCAAGTTTCGCATTAGAATATTTTTATGGCTTATGACCAATGTTGCCCATGCAGGTCCACGTCGTCATATAGACCTTGATGTACATACATGTACATTCATTATTTTTAATATTTTAACAGCATTTTTAACGGATTTTATTTTCTTGAAAATTTGCCAAATTCGTTGCAAATGGTGGAGGGTTTGAATGCCCTCCACCCGGCAAAATTTACTAGATGTTAAAACGTGGAGATAACACTTTTCAGATTTGTAAAGGGTGTGTAGTTTAAAGATTAGACATTGGCAATGGTGTACGAAATGTCGTATCATTTGTATTGATGGAGGTGCAATTTATAAATTAAGTTGGAAGTACTCGCTACTTCGTCAGCGAAGAGTCCAGCTTAAAAAATTGTGCGTGTCAGGCCTTTTATAACCTCCACCTTGTAATATCCCTAAATGTTCGTAGTAGACCCCATGAAGTGAATATATTCTTCTTTTATTTTTTATTCAACTAACACAGTTTCCAAGCCCATAGGGCCGTGGACGGTTCCAAAAACTTCTATACATGACTGCTCTAATTTGATCAGCATAAAATTCTAACGATGTCCGCCAATGTGTCTGTTAAAATCACGATACAGCCCACATTATTTGAAGTAGAGTTTCAATATTTGGCAGAACAATTTTGTATTGTGTCTAGGATGGTTGGTATTGAAAATGAGATATATTGGTTTGGTATAGCAATATTCAGTATTGACGATTTTCGCCTCGCTTGTTCACGGTTCTGTCTAAAAATTGGTATTTGTAGTTTGAAATGGGTTCAAGCTACGGAGGCGGACATGGTCCACGTTTACCCCACATAAAGGACGAGATGAAAAAACTGCAACCAACTTCAGACTGCTATCATTTCTAAGCCACTCGTCCGACAGCTGTTAAAATTATTCCAGTGACAGCTCATTATATTGTTTACAAGCGTACAAGAGCATTTTGGTGAGAATTTTCCAGAAAAAAACTTATTCGTGATCGAATTCAAGAGTGATAGTGTGAGTTCTTTTTGGCTGGAAAACCACAAGTGGCTATCGTTAGAGCACTCCAGCATTTAAATGCGATTAAATCTTTTGTGTCTCGTAGCATCGCTCGTTACTGTGATACAGGTTGCGTAGTCCGACGTCAAGGAAGTGGACCGAAAAAAACAGCAACATCAGCAGAAATGGTTCGAAAAGTAAAGAAGCGACTTGATCGAAACCCGCGTCGCAGTTGCCGAAAAATGGCTCGTGAGCTGAACATATCACAATATTCCATTCGGCAAATATAAAACAATGAGCTCGGGGTAAAGCCATTGAAATTCCAAAAAGTGCAAGAACTTACACTGCAACAGAAAAAAAAAATAGACTCAAAAGAGCTAAAGAGTTGCTTAGGTTGACCGAAAGTGGAGAAATGCCGAAATTGGTTTTCTCCGATGAGAAAACATTCGTTGTCCAGCAGTTTGTAAACAAACAAAATGATCGTGTTTACTTGCCAAAGAGGTCAGCTGAAAATGTGCACCTTCGGTTGGCCACCAGAACTCAAGCGCCGGCCATGGTGATGGTGTGGGCCGCCATAACAGCCGATGGTCGCTCTCCGCTCGTTTAATCGACCATGGCATCAGAATAAATGCCGAATATTATCGGGAAAATTTTCTGGAGGGTGTAATAAAGCCTTGGGCACGAAAACATTTTGGCCGCAGACCTTGGCCATTCGAAAAGGAATGGTTACAAAATGAGGTTTCTCGCTTCATTTCTAGCGCACAATGGCCACCAAAATCTCCGGATACCAATCCGTTGGACTATTGTGTCTGGAGTATTTTGGAAAGCAAGGTTGGCACTAAAAAATACCAAAGTGTCGATCACCTCAAGCAAGCGCTTCGCCGGGAATGGGTCAAAGTACCGCAGAGTAAAATTCGGGCAGCGCGTGACGTTTTCATTGGCCGTTTCAAGGTCATAATTCGTGCCAAAGGTGATCAATTCTAACAAATCTGAACTTATTCTAAAATTTGATGCTATTTCCGATATTTTTTGCTTTCATTCAATAATAATTAAAAAAAAAAAATAAAATTATAGCATTTTAGTTTGTTGCAGTTTTTTATCTCACCCTGTGTATGCATATTTTTGATCAGCATAAAATTCTATGTCGATCACTCTAGCTGCCGAACGAAATGAAGAAGGTTGATAAAATTTTACTCAAATGTATATTATGTCTGCAGGACTTTTGGTATTGAAAGTCGGACATGTAGGTCCATGTCTTGGTACAGGCCTCATATAACGGGTCCTCCCGATATTTGGTATTTTGATGATTGAAGCGACACTCTTTACCGAAATTGTTTCAAATTTTGGTATTTGAAGTTCGTAATGGATGACAAAAAATCGTCTGTGTAGGTCCACGTTTTGGTATAGCCCCCCTATAAATGTACCTCTCTATTTTTGGTATTTTGGCGATTTAAGCGACATTGTTCGCCGGAAATGTTCCAAATTTGGTATTTGAAGTTTGTAATAGATACTTAGGCCTATGCCAGAAAATTGTCTGTGTATGTGATGATCCCCCATAACGGCACCTCTCGATATTCGGTATTTTGATAGTCTTGACCATATTTTTCAATAGAATTGTCTGAAATTCTACACCAAGAGTTGCTTCTGAGTACTTTACCGCCTGGTAAGCATTTTCTATATAGGTCAACGATATCGTATAACCCCCATACATCGGTGCCTCCCATATTCGGTATTTTGATGATTTTAAGCACATTTTTCAATGGAATTGTTTGAAAAAATCACACAAGGAATTCCTTCTGAGTATTTTACCTCTTGGCAGACAATTGTCTATATTGGTCCACGATACTGTATATCTCCCATATAAGGGTACCTCCCTATATTTGGTGTTTTGATTATTGTACACAAATTGTTTAATGGAATTGTCTGAAAATACATACAAGGAGTTCCTTCGTAGAACATTAACCCCCTACATAGGTCCATTATATCGTACAGTCTCCATGTAACGGTACCACCCGACATTCGTTATTTTCACCATTTTAGCCACATTTTTCAATGGAATTGTCTCAAAATCCACACAAGGAGTTCCTTCTGAGTACTTTACACCCTGAAAAATGATTGTCTATAAAAGTCCACGATATCATGTAGCCCCTATATAACGGTACCACCCGATATTCGGTATTTTAGCAACACTTTTGACCGGAATTACTTCAAATTTAGCACTTATGGTTTGAAGCCCGTATTGAGTATTACAACCTATGACGAAAAATTGTCTATGCAGGTCCACGTCTTCGTATAGCCCATATATAACGGTGTCTTCTTTATTCAGTAGTTTAATGATATTAGCGACATTTTCGTTCGGAATCGGTACTACAGCATAAGACAAAATAAAAAATATGTCGACGTCTTCGCATATCCCCCATATAACGGTTTTCATTTAAGTCCTATTTTTTGACGGATTTTTTTTGAAATTCTTCAAGACCCTTCGAAATGGCGGAGGGTATTAAAAGTTCGGCCCGGCCGAACTTAGCTACTTTTTTACTGTTTTTTTTTTTTTTTTTTTTTAATTTTATGGAAATTACTCAGTTAAGCCCAGTGTCTAATACAAACCAACCTCCCCGAAATTACATTTTTTAGACATTATTGTTCTTCAATTTTCCCCCTGGACTTGCATGAATGATTTTGAAAGGCAATTCTAACCATACGTTGAATAGTATGATACGATATAACAATTTTTTTATAAGGCCACCCAATTCCACCCTTCACATCCGTATTTAATCATTCCCTTTCATTTTAAAACTCCACTGAAAAATAAATCATTATTTTTTAAAAAATGACCATTATTTCCCCCCATAACCATGAAATTATATCTCCCCCGCCCGAAAAGCCTGTTGGAAATCTTCTTTTCCCTCCATTAAACTGCAGCTTAAATCTCAACTTACCAATAAAACAGCGCACATCATAACTGGTGCCGATGGGTGCTCCATAGTAACGTTTTGCCGGCACTAATTGTACACTGGGTGGTGCCTGGGCGGTTAACGTCAGGGTAAAGGGATGGGCACCATCGCCCAAACGTTTCAATAAGGCTTCCTGGAAATTAAAAAATAAAAGAAAACGATGAGAGAGCAGTGTTTTTTTTTTTTTTCTTTAATAAATAATTATTATAAATCATTGAAGAAAACATACAAATTACTTATGTCATCAGTCGGATTAAATTACACACGCTCGTTTATGGCACGGTGGCTTTGATGCCTACCGCCGCCGCCACAGACAGCGTTATGAAAATTAATTATTTTAAGTGAACGAACAACAGCAAATGATTTCCGTTTAAACGATGATTAAATGTTTTTAATGAGTCGTAAAGGTTTCTGGTTAATTTTTCCATGGCTTTCGATTTTCATTTTCAATGCAAATATTATTGAAATTTACGGGAGCTCAGGTTGGAGGTTGGACAAATAGGCACACCTGGGTGTAGGCAGGAGGAAGGCAATATTAAGAACTTTTTCCATTCAAAGGCAAGAGCTGTCATGAATTAAAATATCTGAATATATATTTTGAAGTTTAAAACCGAAACATCTTCTACGATTAACATTAAGGCTGTTTGCAGATTTTTCAAAGAAACTTCAAATCGATTGCCATAACCTTCAAATAATAATTCTATGATGTTTCAAAAACTTTATATACCCTACACCACATAGTGGTAAGGCTATTATGTCTTTGTGCATTTGTATGTTACAGGGAGAAGGAAGCGAGATAGACCCATAGTTACTTTTGAGTATCTTCATAGAATCACTTTTTGAGTCTATTTATGCATGTCAGTCCATCCGTACGTCCATGCATCCTTGTGAATAAAATGTCGGTCGCATTTATTATCCAATGGACATGAATTTTTTGCACAAATCATTTGTTTGGCCCAAGGACGAACGCTATTGTAATTGGTGATAATCGGATCAGATTTAGATATAGCTCCCATATATTTTTTACCGATTTCGGGTTAATTACGCACCAAATGGCCAATATAAAACCTAGTGACATGAATTTTGGTACATGTCACCGAATTCGGTCTAGAAATTAAAATTGGCAAAAATCGGTTCAGCTATAGCTCCCATATAGATGTTTTACCCTATTTGGGGTTTTAAGTCCCTCGTATGCGTAATATTCGCTCTACAAGAATAATATTTGGTACCGGACATCAGATACTACTCGAAAATACCTCTGTCAAATTTTATCGATATTGGTTCAGATTAGGATATATGTAGCTCCCATACATATATTTATCGAATATCAGGTTTATTGTGCACCAAATGGCTAATATCCGCCCAAATGGACTGCATTTTGGCAATTACAACTGAATTTATCCTAGAAACCAGAACTTCAAAATTGGTGAAAATCGGCTATAGCTATAGCTCCCATATATATGTGTTATTCCATTTGGTGTTTAAAGTCCCTCACACGCGTAATATGCACTCCACAACAATGATCTTTGGTACCAGATATCTTATAGAGCTCGGAAATACATCTGCCAAATTTTATCAAGATTGGATCTGATTTGGATATAGCTCCCTTATATATCTCAACCGAATTCGGGTTAATTGTGCACCAAATAGCCAATATCAGTTCAAATGACCTGAATTTTGGCATTCAACCAAATTTAGTCTAGAAGCACGTAAATACCTCTGTCAAATTTTATCGAGATCGGTTCAGATTAGGATATATGTAGCTCCCATACATATCTTTATCGAATATCAGGTTTATTGTGTACCAAATAGCCAATATCAGTGACCAAATGACCTGAATTTCGGAATATCCAACCGAATTCAGTCTAGAAGAAAATACATTAAATTTGGTAAAAATCGGTTCAGATATACCTATAGCTCCTATATATATGTGTTATCCGATTTGGCGTTTAAGGTCCGTCCCATGCCTTTGTCAAATTTTATCGAGAGTGGCTAAGATTTGGATTTAGCTCCCATGTATATCCTTAATCCGATTTCAGATTTATTGTGCAAATAATGGCTAACATCAGCCCAAATGGAGTGAATTTCGGGACGTGGAACTCGGCTACGATGTATATTTTTATACCCTGCACCATAGTATGAAGGGTATATTAAGTTTGCCATTCCGTTTGTAACACCTAGAAATATACATTTTAGACCCCACAAAGTATATATATTCTTGATCAGTTGTTGCAAAATGGTCAGGCTTATCCCTTTTATTGTTGTTTTTATAAAAACAACGTTTGTTTATTAGTGGAGAACGATGGTAATGTTTACCAGGGGGTAAGGCAGGGAATACCTAGGTTTCGGAAAGAGCCACCAATCCTCATCAGTTCCCTTGTTTTTTGTCTGGGATATTCTCCCCAGAAGTTATTTTAAAAATAACTTCTATGACAAAAAACATTTTTACCCAAGTGACGAGATCGTAAGCTCAATAGAAGAGGAACCAAAGAATTAAATAAAACTAAAATTCTTTTGGAAAGTCTTCTAAATCTTACAACCGCACTTATAAACATTCACATCTTTCTCCACTTGTTATGCTTTCGTTCAACCTGAACGAAGAAGCATAACCATGTAAGTTGGTTTTGTCTGTTACAACAGCATAAAAATCTATGTCGATTTCGCGATGTCCTTTCTTCTGGCCGTCTATCCGTCTGTGGAAATCACTCTAGCATCCGAACGAAATAAAGTAGGTTGATAGAATTTTACTCAAATTTATATTATGTCTGCAGGACTTTTGGTATTGAAAATGGGCCATGTAGGTCCACGTCTTGGAATAGCCCTCATATAAGAGTGCCTCCCGATGTTCGGTGTTTTGAGGATTTTAGCGATATTATTCACCAGAATTTTTTCAAATTTGGTATTTGAAGTTCGCAATGGGTACTAAAGCCTAGGACAGAAAATCGTAGGTGCAGGCCCACGTCTTCGTGTAGCTCCCATATATCGGTACCTTCCGATATTCGGTATTTTAATGATTTTAGCGACATTATTCACCGGAATTGTTTCAAATTTGGCACTTGAAGTTCGCAATGGATACTACAGCCTATGACAGAAAGTTGTCTGTGCAAGTCCTTGTTTTTGTATAGCCCCCATATAACGGTACCTCCCGATATTCGGTATTTTGATTATTTTATAGACATTTTTCACCGGAATTGTTTTAAATTTGGTATTTGAAGTTCGTAATGGATACTACAGCCTATGACAGAAAATTTTCTGTACTGGTCCAGGTGTTCGTATAGCCCCCATATAACCGAACCTCCCTATATTCGGTATTTTGATGATTTTAGCGACATTATTTACCGGAATTGTTTCAAATTTGGTATTTAAAGTTTTTAATAGATACTACAGCATAAAACAGGAAATGGGCAATGTAGGTCCACGTCTTCGTATAGCCCCCATATAACTGTACCTCCCGATAATCGGTATTTTGATTAATTTAGCGACATTATTCACCGGAATTGTTTCACATTTGGTATTTGAAGTTCGTAACGGATACTACAGCATATGACTGAAAATTGTCTGTGCAGGTCCATGTCTTCGTAAAACCCACATATAGCGGTACCCCCGCTATATCCGGTATTTTGATGATTTAAGCGACATTATTTGTCGGAATTGTTTCAAATTTGGTATTTGAAGTTCGTTATGGATACTACAGCCTAGGACAGAAAATTGTCTATGCAGGTTCATGTCTTCGTATAGCCTCCACATAACGGTACCTCTCTATATTCGGTATTTTGACGATTTTAGCGGCATGATTCAGCGGAATTGTTTCAAATTTGGTATTTGAAGTTCGTAACGGTTACTACAGCCTATGACAGAAAATTGCATATACAGGTCCAGGACTTTGTATAGCCCCCATATAACCGAACCTCCCAATATTCGGTATTTTGACGATTTTAGCAACATTATTCACCGTTTTTTTTTTTTTTTTTCAAGTTTCGCATTTACATTTTCTAATGGCTTATGACAAAATTGCCTATGCAGATCCACGTCGATTAACAGAATTTTTAACGGATTTTATTTATTTATTTTTTTTTTTAAAGTACCAAATTCGTTCCAAATAGTGGAGGGTATTCAAAGTTCGGCCCTGCCGAACTCACAGCGTTTTTACTTGTTTAGCTCTGCTTTCATAATCTCTTAAACTTTTTCTGTATTTTTTAAATATTGGATTTTTTCCCATAATGTTTTTATTATTTCCTATTTTAACCCTCGCCCTTCCGCTTTTGAATGCAAAAAAAAGTCAATAATGCATTTTATGTGAAAATATTCAAATTCCATTTAAATCTCATCGACTTACCTGCAATGGACTTAATGTATCCCTGGCTGGTTCCTCATTTCGTGGCCATATTTGATGCAGTGACATAATGGCTTCATTGCAAAAACGCAAACCCATGACTTCTTCATCCTCGCGGCCATAACTGAAATGAAAAAAGTCGAAATCAACCAAAAAAAACACAAAAAATAAGTAAAATTTAATAAAGAAAAAATAATTATTTAAAAAAAAAAATAAATTTCCACTCAATGGCATTCGGGTAATAAATCAATCACGGAACTCCATGACAGCCATTTTGATAATTGCTTTTCGTTGAATGCCAGAGTATTGGCCATACCTTGGCACAGAGTTGTGCTACAAAGATTTTTGTGATGATGAGGGGGGGAGGGGGTGTGCGCAGGGAAACAAAGAGAAACAATAATTCTTTTTTAATTGATTGCTGAGGCACGAATGACGTTGCAATTTTTCAATAAATCCTCTTCTTGTTCTTCTATAACTGGCTAGCTACATGGCTAGCCAATGGCTATTTGATTGGGTTCAATGGGTAGATGAAGAAGCAAGGCTATGGCTGACGAGCAATGGGAGTGGTAACTGGAAGTTATGGAATTGATTGTGAAATAATTTTGAGATAATAGGACATGTGCATTACAGGGTGAGATAAAAAAACTGCAACAAAGTCAAACGCCACAATTTTTACATATTATAACCTCCACCATTCTATGGAGGGTATATTAGCTTTGTCATTCCGTTTGTAACTCCTCGAAATATTCATAATAGACTTCACAAAGTATATATATATATATATATATATATATATATATATATATATATATATATATATATATATATATATATATATATATATATATATATATATATTTATATATATATTTAAAATTTCGTATTTGAAGTTCATAACGGTTACTAAAGCCTATGACAACAATTTTTATATGCAGGTCCACATCTTCGTATAGCCTCCATATGACAGTACTTCTCGATACTCCGTATTGTCATTTTTGGGACATTATTCACTGGAGCTGTTTCAAATTTCGTATTTGAAGTTTGTAATGGTTACTACAGCCTATGACAAAAATTATTGTATGCAGGTCCAAGTACCTCCCGATATTCGGTATTTTGATGATTTCAGCAACATTATTCACCGGCATCTATTCAAATTTCATACTGGAAGATACCAATGGGTACTAAAGCCTACGGGAAAAATGTTTGTATGCAGGTTCAGATCTTCGTATAGCCCCCATATAAGGGTACCTCCCGATATTCGAAATTTTGATCATTTCAGCAACATTATTCACAGGCATCGCTTCAAATTTCGTACTGGAAGATACCAATGGGAACTACAGCATATGACAAAAATTGTTGTATGCAGGTTCAGATCTTCGTATAGCCCCCATATAACGGTAACTCCCGAGGGGCGGTATTTTGATGATTTTAGCGACGTTATTTACCGGAATTATTTAAAATTTCGTATTTGAAGTTCGCAACGGGTACTACAGCCTGTGACAACAATTTCTATATGCAGGTCCACATATTCGTTTAGTCCTCATATAACGGTTTTCATTTAAGTGGTTGTTTTCGGAAATTTTAGGAAATTTTTCAATTTCCTTCGAAATGGTAGAGGATATAAACAATTCGGCCCGGCCGACCGTAGATGCTTTTTTTACTAACTTTTTTTCTTAAATTTTATTGAATGAAAGCAAAAAAGCATATTTTAGAATAAGTTTAGATTTGTTCGAATTGGTCACCTTTGGCACGAATTATGGCCTTCAAACGGCCAATGAAAGCGTCACACACTGCCCGAATGTTGCTCTGCGGTATTTTGGCCCATTCCCAGTGAAGCGCTTGCTTGAGTTGATCGACACTTTGGTATTTTTTAGTGCCAACCAAGCTTTCCAAAATACACCAGACACAATAGTACAACGGATTGGTATCCGGAGTTTTTGGTGGCCATTGTGCGCTGGAAATGAAGCGCGGAACCTCATTTTGTAACCAAGAATGTCCAAGGTCTGCGGCCAAAATGTTTGCGTGCCAAAGGTTTACCAATGTTGAGGCCCAATGGGATGTTAGTCGTGTTCTCTCCACTAGCTCTTCGCGTGCTAGCCTTGGGGAGTTTGCTCGTCGTCGGGCACTAGTGTGAATGTGTTGTATGAATGTGTCTGCTCTGTGTGTATGAGTATGAATGCGAGATGAGTGTGTGATTTAGGGCGTCTTAGTACGTTTCTATGGCCTAGACGTGCATAATAGCCACAAGGGGTTACCAGTCTCCTGGTCACATGGAACTGAAACTGGTAGTAACTCGGTTACGAGATCTGACCAGAGGTCTTTTTCTGGTACCGCAGGTGGTGGGGACTCACAGGGAATCTCAACTCTCTGCCTCAGCATTAAGATCCTTCTGATCTTGTCGGGGGCACTTTCAAATCTAATCGGCCAGCATCAGAGCGGAAGAGGTGAATAGGCCTCGCTCTTCGCAGTATGTAAACGTGGTGATTATACTGCTCCATCAGTGTAGCACTTGTGTTGCACTCGTTCTATTCCCTGATCGTGCCTTAAATTTTCACTCATTTTGGGTGACCAGTCCCGTGCTATATGGAGCAAAAACTGGTAGTAGTTTCGACTACGAAGTCTGATCGGAGACTATTCTGGTGCCGCAGATGTCACGAGCCCCTAGATCTGTTGACCTCGCCCACTATGGAGAGGCCCCTGTTGTGGGTGCAACGCGGTTGTTGTGGTTTATACTCAAATCGCGGATAGAGCGTCGGCTCGATGTGGTGTTGCATTCTCAACCGGGCGCTGCGACCCATAGAGCAGCAGAGGTGTAAGATAGTCCTCAACCCCTTACCAAGAGGGAAGTAAAGCCCATACAGCTGATCTTCAAATTGGTACCTGCGGAATAGACCTAGAACTCTGTGGAGGGCTACCACTCTATAAGAGAAATCTGAGTAATTCCAAAGGGGCGCTGGCCGACGCATCGTATCGCGACCCCTGTGCAATGGTGCATCATGGTTGAAGCCGTCAAGGCGATAATCATGTAAAGCCCCTCGACTTCACCCTCCAGAATATTTTCGCGATAATATTCGCCATTTATTCTGATGCCACAGTCGATTAATACGAGCGGAGAGCGATTATCGGCTGTTATGGCGTCCCACACCATCACCATGGCCGGCGCTTGAGTTCTGGTGGCCAACCAAAGGTGTACATTTTCAGCTGACCTCTTTGGCAAGTAAACAGGATCCTTTTGTTTGTTTACAAACTACTGGACAACGAATGTTTTCCCATCAAAGAAAACCAAATTCGGCAGTTCACAACTTTACCCCGAGCTCATTTTTCAATATTTGCCGAATGGAATATGGCGATATGTTCAGCTCACGAGCAATTTTTTTGGCCACTGCGACGCGGGTTTTGATCCAGTCGCTTCTTTACTTTTCGAACCATTTCTACTGATGTTGCTGTTTTCTTCCGTCCACTTCCCAATTCCTTGAGGTCGGGCTACGCTACCAGTATTACGTTAACGAGCGATGGTACGAAATACAAAAGATTTATTCACATTTAAATGCTGAAGTGCTCTATCGATAGCCACTTGTGATTTTCCAGCCAAATATAAAGAAATCACACTATCACGCTTCAATTCCATCACGAATAACTTTTTTTCTGGAAAATTCTCACCAAAATGCTTTGGTACGCTTGTAAACAATATAATGAGCTGTCACTGTCGGACAAGTGGCTTAGAAATGACAGCAGTCTGAAATTGGTTGCAGTTTTTTCATCTAACCCTGTAAATGCTGAAATTTTCAACACTAATATATAAATGAGATAATATCGGGATCGTGATATGGAGTTTGAAAAATTCTAAGTATGTATTTAACCTAACCTAAATTTTATTCTATGATTTAAAAAATCCTCTTTAAAAAAATTTCTTTGAAATAAATTTCATGTTGATGTGCATGATTTATATTTTTGCACTGAGGACATTTATATTCTCAAAAGCACCATATCCTACTTAAAGCAAAGGCCTTAATAAAAATATTAGCAGTTTTGTAAATAAAATTACATTTCATCACAAACTCACATTCACACACACACACTCATCACACCTAAAATACACTTTTTTCTCCTTGCAACAAATAATAACAACAACAACTCTGTCTGCAAGACAACAAACTCTCTTTCTCTCTCTCTCTCACACACACACACGTACACATGCATCTCCATTTTTTTCCTTTTTGCCATACTACCATACTTACCGAAATGTCAGCGTCAATTGGGCATAGACACGATATCCTTGAATGGCTTTCGGGTCCACATAAACAATGCCACGCAAAATGGATGGCGTGTTGCCAGATAAGGTTATCTCACGTGACGGCAAATACAAGGTGAGCACGCAATTCGGTGAGGTCTTCTTGTAGACACGCTGTGTGCCGAATTCATCTTTGTGTGACGATGACGATCTGTGAAGGAGAAGGGTGATTGATGGGGGGGAAATTAGATTTAGTTTTTGTTTCGTTTAAGCGGGGGTGGGGAAATGGAAAAAATATATTGGCAGCAACGAGATAATGGAAAAAGTTTTTTTTTCGGTACATTTTCTTCGGTTAATAAAGTCAAAGTTAATTTGAGAATAATTTAATTTAATCAGAATATTGGTTTGGAAAAAAAATATTAATTTCAATAAAAATCACATAAAATTGGAATTGTCGTCTAGTAATTGAATATTATTTTTTATATCAGAATTGGAAATAGACAGAATTCATTCTTTATAGGTTTGAAATATTTCTATGAACCAAGATCCACCTGTGTTCTGGGGATAAAACCATCAGTTCTCCTGGAGAAAAAAACTTTCTGGTTTTCTAAGGAAGAAAACCTTGTTAACTTTAGGGAAGAAGATCTTCTGGTCTTCTATGTCATAAAATCTTCTGGTGTTCTAGGGAAGAGTCTTTCATATCTTTTAAGAAAGACTAGCTTCTGGTCTTAATGGAAAGAAGACTCCCAAGTGTTCTAGCGAAGAAATCCTTCTTGTTTTTTAAATAAGAAGATCTCCGAATCTTTTAGAGAAGAAGACCCTCAGGTCTTTTCGGGAAGAAGACTTTCTGATATTCTAAGGAAGAAGATCTTATGCTTTGTTATTCTGACTATTCTTCCCTAGAATAGCAGAAAGTCTTCTTCCCTAAAATACCTTCTTCTCTAAAAGACCTTCTTCTCGAAAAGGCCCGAAGGTCTTCTTCTCTTGAAGCCAAGAAGAAATTGTTCCGTTGAAAACGAAGACTTTTGGTTTTGTACAAAGGAAAACCTTCTAGTCTTGTCTTAAAAATGAATGAAAGAAATTCTTTGGGGGAAGAAGACCTTCTTATCCTAGCCTTTTAGAGAAGAATACCCTCAGGTCTTCTAGGGAAAAATATTCAGAATAGCAAAGCATAAGATCCCTATTATAGCAGAAAGCCTTCTTCCCTAAAATACCTTCTTCTCGAAAAGACCCCAAGGTCTTCTTCTCTTGAAGACAAGAAGAAATTCTTCCGTTTAAAACCCGAAAAAGAAGACTTCTTGTCTTGTACAGAGGAAAATCTTCTAGTCTTGTCTTAAAAAGGAATGAAAGAAGTTCTTCAAGGGAAGAAGACCTTCTTCTCCGAGCCTTTTCGAGAAGAAGACACTCAGGTCTTCTAGGGAAGAATAGTCAGAATAGCAAAGCATAAGATCTTCTTCCCTAGAATAGTAGAAAGGCTTCTTCCCTAAAATACCTTTTTCTCTAACAGACCATCTTCTCTAAAAGGCCCGAAAGTCAAAATGAAATTCTTCCGTTGAAAACCCGAAAAAAGAAGACTTCTGGTCTTGTACAGAGGAAAATCTTCTAGTCTTATCTTAAATATGAATGAAAGCAGTTCTTCAAGGGATGAATACCTTCTTCTCCGAGCCTTTTTGAGAAGAAGACCCTCAGGTCTTCTAGGGAAGAATAGTTAAAGACCTTCTTCTCTACAAGACCCGAAGGAGAATAAGAAATTCTTCCGTTGAAAACCCAAAAAAAGAAAACTCCTGGTCTTGTCTTGTCTTAAAGATGAATGAGAGAAGTTATTCAAGGAAAGAAGACCTTCTCCTCCTGAAGAATACTTTCTAGACTTATTCCAGTGATAAAGACATTCTGCACTTCCAACGAGGAAGACTTTCTAGTCTTCTAGTAAAGAAAACCTTATAGTCTTCTAGTTAAGAAGACCTTCTAGGCTTGTGGTAGACCTCCTTGGTCCTCTTCCAGAGAAGAAGACCGTCTGACCTTCTTTCAAAGAAGACCTCCTGGCCTTCTTCCAGTCTTCCTCCAATGGCCTTCTAGTGAAGAAGAATTTCCAGTCTATTAATGAAGAAGACCTTCTGTTTTTCTAGTAATCTAGTAGTCTTCTAATAAAGAAGACCTTCTCGTCTTCTAGTAAAGAAGACTTTCTGGTCTTTTAGTCAAGAAATCCTTCTGATCTTCTAGTGAAGAAAACTATCTGGTCTTCTAGTAAAGAAGACCTTCTAGTCTTTCAGTAGACCTCCCTGGTCTTCTTCCAGAGAAGAAGACTTTCTGGCCTTCTTCCAATGAAGAAGACCTTCTGGTCTTCCTCCAATGGCCTTCTGGTCAAGAAGACCTTCTGTTTTTCTAGTAATCTAGTAGTTTTCTAATAAAGAAGACTTTCTGGTCTTTTAGTCAAGAAATCCTTCTGGTCTTATAGTAAAGAAAACTATCTGGTTTTCTAGTAAAGAAGACCTTCCATTCTTCCCATGAAAAAAGTCTTTCTGGTCTTCTAATAAAAAGGTCCTTATTTTCTTCAAGGGAAGAAAACTTTCTTCTAGTGGAGAAGACTCTCTGGACTTCTATGCCTTCTGGTCTTCTAGGGAACAAGGCCTTTTGGTTTTCTAGAATTCTGCTAATGAAGCAGACCTTCGGGTCTACTAGTAAAGAAGACCTCCTTCTTCCAGGAAATTTCTTCCAGAGACCTCCTGGTCTTCTTCCAGTGAAGAGGTCTTTCTTCTCTTCTACCAGTGAAGAAGTTCTTCTTCTCTTCTTCCAGTGAAGAAGGCCTTTATATGACTATCTGGTCTTCTAGTACCTTTCGCCTTTCTTTCAGCGAAGAAGACCTTCTGCTCTTCTTCCAGTAATGAAAAATTTCGGATATTTTAGTGTAGAAGGCCTTCTGGCCTTCCTCCAGTGAATAAGACCTCCTGCTCTTCTTCTAGTAAAGATAGCCACCGGGTCTTTTAGGGAAGAGGACTTTCTTTTAAATAAAATTTTCTGGATAAAATGCGCAGCACTTTTTATACCCTTCACTATAGCATGGAGGGTATATTAAGTTTTATCATTCCGTTTGTAACATCTCGAAATATGCGTTTTAGACCCCACAAAGTATATATTTTTCAGATCAGAATAAAATTCTATGTCGATTTAGCGATGTTCGGGCATCTATCTGTCCGCCTATGGCAATCACACTAGCTTCCAAATAAATTGAAGTAGATTTATAAAATTTTAGTCAGACGTGTATTTGGAGTGCAGAACTTTTCGTACTGAAAATGGGCTAAATAGGTCCACGTTTAGATATAGCCCCCATATAACTGTACCTCCCGATATTCGGTATTTTGACGATTTTAGGTACAATATTCACCGGAATTGCTTCAAACTTGGTATTTTAAGTTCGTAATGGATACAGCATATGACAGAAAATTGCCTATGCAGATTCAGGTCTTCGTATAGCCCCCATATAACGTTACATCCCGATATTCCGTAATTTTATGATTTTAGCGACATTATTCACCGGAATTCTTTTAAATTTGGTATTTTATGTTCGTTGTGGGTACTACAGATTATGGCAGAAAAATGTCTATGCAGGTTTACGTCTTCGTATAGCCCATAAACAACCGAACTTCCCAAAATTCGGTATTTTGAGGATTTTAACGAAATCATTCACCGGAATTCATTCAAATTTGGTATTTGAAGTTCGTAATAGGTACTACAGGCTGTGACAGAAAATTGTTTTTGCAGGTCCACGTCTTCATATAGCCCTCATATAACGGTACCTCCCGATATTCGGTATTTTTATAATTTTACCGACATTATTTACCGGAATTGTTTCAAATTTGCTATTTGAAGTTCGTAATGAATACTACAGCCTATGACAGAAAATTGTCTGTGCAGGTCCAATTAGTATAGCCCCCATGTTAACTCCCTATATTCGGTATTTTGATGATTTTAGCGATATTCTTCACCGGAATTGTTTCAAATTTGGTATTTGAAGTTCGTAATGCATACTACAGCCTATGACAGAAAATTGTCTCTGCAGGTTCATGTCTTCGTATAGCCCCCATATAAAGGTACCTCCCGATATTCCGTATTTTGACGATTTTAGGTGCAATATTAACCGGAATTGTTTCAAATTTGACATTTGAAGTTCGTAATGGATACTACACCCTAAGACAGAAAATTTATTGTGCGGATGCACGTCTTCGTAGAGCCCTCATATTGCGGTACCTCCCCATATTCGGCATTTTACTGATTTCAGGGGCATTATTTACCGAAATTTCTTCAAATTTGGTCTTGAAAGTTAGTAATGGGTAGTACAGCCTATTACAGAAAATTGTCTATACAGGTCCAGGTTTTCGTATGGTCCCCATATAACGGTACCTCCCGATATTCGGTATTTTTATGATTTTGCGATGTTTTTCGCCGGAATTGTTTCAACTTCTTATTTGAATTCCCCAATGGGTACTACAGTCTATGACAGAAAATTGTCTTTGCAGGTCCAGTTCTTCGTATGGACCCCAAAATAGGAGTAACTTCCTGTATTTGTGTATTTTTAAGATTTTAACAGAATTTTTAATGGGATTTATTATTTTTTTTTTTTAATTTTCCAAAATCGTTCCAAATTGTAGAGGCTATTCAAAGTTCGGCCCGACCTAACTTACTGCTTTTAAATTTGTTTAATAATTTTTCCTTCAAACATTAACTCAAAAAGTTACAAGTAATTAATTTAAACAAGCTCCTAACATCATTTAAACGAATTTCTAAAGGATATGTAAATACTGAACACCAATCCTCTGCCAACAAAATGTCCCATGTTCCATATTAATCTAGAATAATTACTTTTTACGATATTTGTCAAAGATAGCTACCGCGTTCGGAATATCAATTTCATTTCATTCCCAAACACATTGACACTTTTGCATGCCGTATGAGTAGCTGCCACGTATATTTCCAGCCATTTTCAGTCATTTATTTTCATTTCCTGCTAACAATACTTCATAATCCTTACAACTCTTTCTTTCTTTCGTCCAAATCCCCATTCGCTTTAGTTAGGCAGTGTCATAAACATATGTATGTATTTTCGTATGTATCTTTGTAGCGTTAATGCCAGCCAGTTATTCAGTCAGTCAGTCAGTCAGTCAGTCAGTTTGTCTGGTAGACAGTTGCTCTTTTTTTTTTTTGATTTATTCCACT